ACACACACACACACACACACACACACACACACACACACACACACACACACACACACACAGAGGTCTCAACACAGCATTATTACCCACTCAATCTTACTTGCCCATTAAACACAATTTCTCTCTTCATTTACTGAAAATGGTGCGTTGCTGTGTGTCTTCCTGCCTCTCCGTCTCACTCTGGGTTTGTCTCTCCCTGCAGATTGCCCCGGTGGAGATTGATGAGAGCTATGATGAGATGAAGCAGGACGCGCGCACGTGTCTCTCCCTCCTGTCCCAGGGCCTGCTCTATACGGAGCACATCCCTCTGGTCCTGGCGGCTCTGGAGGAGGTAAGCTCACGTGAAGAGGCTGCTCATAACAAATGCTGCCCCGTGGACCTGCTGTCAGTGTTTCTCACCTAATGCCTCCCCATCGTGATGCATTATACTAAGAACAACCTTTAGTTAAAGGGAAAAAAGAAAGTGAACCTCTTATTCACTTTCGAATTGTTAAGGACTTGTTAAAGGACATGAAAAATCACCTTCATTTAATTAGGTATTAAAAATGACTACAGATTAAAAAAATAAAACATTGTAATAACAGTTTCATTATTATAGCTCACCCTTGAAAGTATGTCTGTGGGTTTGTTTGTCTGTTAGCAAAATATCTCATGAACTAATAGATGGATTTTAATGAAACTCTCAGAAAGTTATCACAGGATGTACATCTACAAGTGATTAAATCATGGAGTCACCTCCTTTAAAAGTGGCCACCACAGTTAAACCAATTGTGAAAACAGATAAATGGCTATAACTCAGCCAGTTTTGCAGTTATTAAGCTAAAATTTGGTATGTTAGTAGCTGAGACTGATCTTTGACACATAGTCAAAGCTGTTTATGTTGCATTGTAGCATGGCGTAAAACTTTGACATTAATATGAGCATCAATGCTATTTGTCTGTTAGCAAAATATCTTATGAAATAGAGGAAAAAATTTTGGTGAAACTCTTAAAAGTTAATCAATGGATGTGCAACTACAAGTCATTAACTTTTGGTGTCAAGCAAAATCAAGATGGCTACCCCAGCCAATCAAAGTTGGTCAGCACAAAACAAGCTGCAGCTCACAATGAGCTAAAATTTGATGTAGAAGTAGCCGAGAGGTGCAAAAAAATAAATTTTCAATATTTAATCAAAAGGAATAAAACACAACCATCATAAAACAATTTTAGTTTGAAACTGGTAAAAACTGGTAAACCCGTTTCCTTCCCTCTCGTCACTTGTCTCCTCAGATGGCAGGCAGCAGATCGTGGCACGCACGCTTCTCCGTCCTGACCTACCTCCAGATCATGGTTTTCCACAACTTGTTTACTCTGCTCAGTTTGCCCGCTGAGGTTCTCCGCGCTCGAAAGCTGGTGATGCAGCTGCTGCTCGACGAACAGCTCGAGGTAACAACATGGGGTTCGAGGCAGCCTCTGCACTTGTTTTGTTTTTTTCCTCGTAAAGTCTAATTGCCAGAGGATTAAAAGAGAGAGGACACTTGTTCCTTATGCCTCAATGTCTTTACGTTCACGGTTGCTGCGCAAAAATAACAATCTGCCTCACTCCTCACTGCAGTTTTAAAGAAATTGTTAAAATAGCTTGACTGGTGGAGGTCTGCAGTGTTATAAGAATAACATTGTGTCAATTTAATGTCTTAAGTATTAGTTTTAATGGTTCATTGTTTAAATGACTTAATATGGCTTTTTATTGGTTGCAGTAAAATAAACCTAATTCTAAGTTACTTTGCCTTTATTTAATTCCTTTCTCACTTATCTTGCATTCAAAAAAAATTAATTTGTCTTATTTCACATCTGGATTTATAGTAAACAGGGCTGGCCCCAGCCAATTTGGCACCCAAATGTCTGTGAAAATGTAAACACTGAACGAATGCTGAAGCCTGCAGAAAAAGCTAAAGGCAAGTTGGCAACGCTAAAACAAGCAAAACACTAGCAAAAAAATCAATAAATTAAACACTCGTTAAAAGCTAAGAAAAAACACCTGGGAAACACTTAGCTCAAAGGTAAAAAACATGCTTAATAAAAGTCAAAAATTGTTAATTTTATTTTGGAGCTAAAAGTAGCAAAGCACTTACTAAAAGCTAAAATAAGCTAAAGGCTAGCTAAAAGCAAATTCTAACTAAAGGCTAGTTGAAGCTAATACATCTAAAGCTCAACTTAAAACTGAAAGTAGCATAAAGCTAAATGCTAAAAATGGCAGAATGGTAGCTAAAAGCTAAAATGACCTAAAGTTAGCTACAAGCTAAATGAATCAGACTGATAGTTGAAAGCAACAAAACCTTTGTGATAAAGCTCAACACAGCAAACTGCTAGCTAAAATCTAAAAGTAGCAAAATAGCTACAAACGCTTTGTGSAATTCTTTGAAGAAAATATTTGTAAATGAAGTTTGTTATTTTGAAAAGTCTGCTCAGACGTCTTCGCACACACTTTCTGAATGAGCTGAGTGTTTTGGTTTATTATAATAACAGAGCCGGACCTAGCCAATTAGGTGCCCAGGGCAAGATTTCAGCTGCCACCCCTTGTGCATTTTTCTAAATCTCACTGCCAATATACATATATTCACTAAACTGTTTTGTCTTTGATATTATTATTTTTATTATTTATCTTTATAAACAACAGACTGAAAAAAATGTTATTGAAAACTTTTTTGTCCCCCAATTGTGACGCCCCAGTTGGACGGCACCCTTAGTATGTGCCTATACTGCCTATGTAATATGTACAGGCTGTGCTTAACCATTTTAGTCAAATATATTTAGTC